AACTTAGAAACCCTCATTAAAAGGATTCCTTCTGTCAATTTTAACTCAAAACCTTAGAAAACCTCTACCTACTTTATCCGCCAATGAATCTTCAACCTCTACAAGGCGTCCTAGATTTTCTACCACTCATTCTGAGTTAGATACCTTCATCATACTCATTGGCAAATTGTGGACTTGAATCTCGTACTTTGGAGAACTTGATCTCTTACACTGTTCTTCCAACTAGCCATTTCTATAAGCTAAAATAGCATTAGAGCATTGGCCACAATGAATCCTCAATTACTCTTTGCATCAATTTTTCATTCACAAAATTGATGCCATAGACATTATCATTGAACTCTCTGATGACCAAAGCTTTCAATATATACCAGTAGCCTTGTAACTGATTAATCACTCCACAAATATTCATAATCTTCTTTGATATAATCTTGCCAATAGTAAGATATCTCAAAGCAGGATCAATTGCTTCGGGAACGTGATTTTCATCAAGAACAATCTCAAAATCATCCACCATATCCAAAACCCTAACAATGGGAAATAGAATACAGAGATGATATAAGGAATTTAACAAAGATCAAGAAAAAGAATCAAATTGAAGAAACTAGTCAAAAGATCAATCAACATAATCAGTTCTTAGATAGATCTAAGAATCAAAACATTGAAAAAACATAATGCTCAAAAGGAGCTCAAACTCTTAGTTGAGAGATATATTCAAGCCGCATGCGTTAAACTCAAATTCACCCTTATGGTTAGACTATAGCTCTACCATTTGCGTTTGATTCCAACTTATGGTTCTAGTCATGTGACTCGTACTATTTTCTCAAACTTAAGGTGTACTGAAAAAAAATTAGATTAAAATGTCAATTTGGTCTTTCAAATTTTAAATTTGTACTCAAATTGTCCTTTAATTTCAAAAAGTACCAAAATTGTCGTTGAACTCTAATTTTGGGTATCAAAATAGTCCTTAAACTTTGATTACAAATATCAATTTGGTTTTTCAATTTTGGTTACATGTTGATCTGCCATGTAAATGAAAATATATTATGATAGTAAAATATAACTATTTTATTTTATATGTCATTTGTATTTTAAAGAAAGAACTAATTTTGACAAAATAATGAGTCATGTAACTCTTTTGTTAACGAAAAGACTATTTTGGTATTAAAAATTAAAGTTTTGAGATAACTTTGATTTTTTTAAAATTAAAGACATTTTTTATACAAATCTAAAAGTTGAGGGACTGAATTGATATTTTAACCAAAAATTACCTTAGGTGATAGCTTAAGTGGGTTTCCAAGTTTAGAAATTTTTTAGCGTGACATGTTTTAAATGAGTGAATTAAGTTAGCTTTTACTCATAAACGTTTTTCTGAACATAATTTGTTACAATTAAAGGTATTAGGGGAAAGAGGGAAATGGGAAGGACTTGGTGGGGCTTGAATCTAGCCTAAAGAAATAAATATCGTACCGTACCGACTGATATGATCGATACGTACCGATTTTTAGTGTAGACTGAAACAAAGTAAAAATGAATTCTATTTCGGTCAAAATTCGATGATTTTAGTCAAATTTCGATGTACTAGTTGAAATTTCGACATACTGACCGGTACACCAAAATTTAACCAGTACAATATACAAGAATTAAAAAAAAAAAAGATTTCCTAGCCAAAACGACGTCATTTTGGCCAGCCCTACAATTTTGATCGCGCAAATCCTCCTTTGTTCTCGTGTCCAGCTATCTTGACTTGTCAATCTTCCATTTTTTGGTACAGTTGCCCGCTACAATTCAAATCAATTCAAATTTAAAAATAGCAAATTTCATTTTTAGTTCTCAACTTTAATATTTTATATAATTTTCATCCTTTAGTTTTTTTATATACTTTTTTAGTCCATTCTTCATTTTTTTTTAGTCCTTCTATTAATTACTCCTTTAAATTTTTCTAAATACACACATTTTTAATCCCTTAATCTAAAATGAATGGACAAAAAAATGTATATATTAAAAGTTAAGGGATTAAAAATTATCATTTTAAACTTATTTTTAATTTATAAGAATATAATAATTTTAAAGATT